AATCATACTGTAATTATGTAATTTATATACATTACTTTTATGTACCAGGTATATATTATGAGATTGCGTCATATAATTATGATTTGGTACTACCCAGAAAGATCAAATCAGCGGGCTTCATGGTTACGCGCTCATATACGAAATAATCGTAAACTTTTTAATGACTTCAAATATACATCGGGAGACACTATTGATAAACATGGTCGTTGTTTTACAGATAATCCAAAAACAAAGCGTGTTTTAGCAGGATTTAGTATCAAACGTATTACATGTTTTTGGTGCAGTAAAGGATGTTATCCATCAAAAAAACAAAAACCGATAGAGAATGCTTCTCAATATTCTGAAAATGTACATGCATGTAGTATATGTCAGCTGGATCTTGGAAATATCTGCATAAAATGTCGTACATTATTATCTTTGAAATATTCACAAATTGGCTTAGAAGAACATTTAAACAATGAAGAGTATATAACTATGAATTCAGTGTATTCACTAAAAGATGATCAGTATTGACGTTAACTTGTTAATGAATCTACAGTGGTAAAAACTGTAAATTATTAATTTTGATGAATATCAGTTAAGGATTATTTTACTATATGCTTATTTCAGTAAAGTTTCATTATAGAAACTAAACTACATTAGTAATGAAATTCATAATATTCTTTTTCTGTTATTATCTAAAGGGCTTAATAGATGCTAATTTCATTAAAAGATGGTTTAAACGGACAAATAAGAAACTAATGAAGATACTGTATTCAATAATAAAAATATCAATATAACTAATTCCGTATGCATATTTAAATCGGTGCATTAACTTTATGACTAATCCAGAAACTACTTTAACAAAACAAAACATAAAAACACCATTCAATTTTATGTTTGAGGGGATTTATTTATTATAAAAACGGTTCTAATGATAGACTAAGATCATTTGGAGAAGTTAATTCCCATAAGCACAATTTATACAGGATTAAAAGTACGCGTTGTTGAGAAGCTATAAATTAAAGCGAAACAAATCCTCAGTGGTTTTCAATAATTTTCTAGATGATATAGAACCACGATAGGGACTGGCTATTAGATTGTTGATGATCCTGCGTCCAAAAGTTTGTTATGAAAATTATTTAATATGATCAAGAAAGCCTATTAACAGAGATAGCCATGTATTGGTTGAAAGTAGAGAAGTATCTGAATGTTTAGTTTTTCAATAGTAACTAACATCAAACTAGCATCACTAGATCAACTGGATTACGTTATGTATGCTTCTTTTTAACCACAGGCTTTAGAAGTAGAGATTCGTCGAATTTTTCAGACAGCTTATTATCTAATGGGTCATGATCTCCATTTCATTATCACGGTTTATTTATACTTGTAGAAATACTAGCCATCAATTTTTCCTCTGAATCTTTTGAAGTCAACTATGACTGTCATTAAAAGAACTGATTTATGAAACCGACCTTTAGTTCTTCAAAAAACTGAGGTATGAATAGGTGTTTTCTTATAATTGATTCTCCCCATGAATTAAAAAGAAGCATAGATGGCTACAACTCGACCTTTGTATTTCAAAATTTCTGTGGTTAATCTTTAATTCTCTTGATAATTTTTCATTTAAATATTAGTACGTCTTATTGAGTTCATCTCAAAATATTTTCCATCTTCCTATAGTTTTCATAAATTCTTACCTGAATGCATAATGAAATTATCTTCAATATTCCTAAACCGTTATCACTCATAAAAATTACTTCATTCGAATTACACTTTCATGTTCTAAATAATTAATCATTCATCCATTATCTGAGGCGGATAACTGTCTTTAGTTAACATGTATTGGACTCCACTGTTCACAGCTTCTCAACAGAACTCCAGGAAATCCATCTCAAAGCTATTCATTAGTGAGTACATGATTATCATCAGTATGGGTTTGAGTCAGTAGCTAAGTAGACAATGCGGTGGCGTTTGAAGAGAACGGTACTGGGTTCGAGTCCCAGAGTGAACGTCAACTGCGAGATGCAGGTATATTCACTTGAAGAGTCTCAAGTGAGACGAAGCGAGGTCCTGAATTCCACTGTTAGCCACTATCCATCTTTGTTTATAAAGCTTGTGATTTAACACAATGTCGAGGCAATCCGCAAAGGATGTATATATGCCAACAAGAGAATGATCATTTGCAGTCCTAATCATCAAAGGGAAGATACAAGCAAACGACACCAAATGAATGAATTCATTTTGTTTCGTCTGGAACTTGTCAGCCGCTTACAGCCTGTGCCAATGAAAAATCGTCATTACAAAAGGTTCAATACAGCCTTCTTACGAGATACTAACAAACTCAACGAATTCAAGATAGCTCATGAAAACACGTTCCAAGCATTACAAGATCTACTCAAAAAAGAAGGAACTGGAAGTAGACCAGAGAAGCGCTAACTTCAACGTGTCACGAGGTAATGGGTCATAAGAAGCATCATCATGAGGAACGGATCTCTGTTGAAACCCTGGTCAAGATTCAAGAAAGGAAGAACAAGAAGACAGCAATGAACAACAGTCGGACATGAACAGATAAAGTCAAGGCCTAAGCTGAATACACAGAAGTAAACAAGCAAGTAATGAAGAGCATTGGGGCCGACAAGTGGAAAAGTGTGGACGAGCTAGCAACGACAGCAGAAAAAACTGCAGTAGAAGGAAACATGAGACAAATGTGTGACACGAAGAAACTAGCAGGGAAATATGGTGAACCAGAGCAACCAGTCAAGGACAAATAAGGCAAAGCAGTCACTGAGATTCAAGAACAGACGAACATGTTAGTAGAACACTTTGAAGAACTTTTGAATGGAACGACCCCATTGAACCCACCAGACACCGAGCCAGTATACACAAACACTCATATTACTGTCACTCCACCAACAATCGAAGAAATCAGGATGGCTATTAGACAAATCAAGAGTGGGAAAGCAGCAGCACCAGACAACATACCAACTGAAGCACTGAAGTCACACATAGAAGTAACTTCAAAGATGCCCAAAATCCTATTCAGAAAGATTCAAAAGTGATCAACTGCCGATAAACTGGAAGCGAGGATACCTCGTTAAGATAATAAAGAAAGGTCTTGGCAAGTATGAGAACTACAGAGGCATCACACTACTATCAGTGCCAGGAAAAGTTTTCAACAGTGTTATCAAGCTGGATGAAAGATTCAGTAGACGCCCAACTTCGAGATAAACAGATTAGATTCCGTAATGACCGGTCGTGCACAGACCAAATCGCGACACTACGTATAATCTTTGAACAACCAGTTGAATGGAATTCGTCACTACACATCAACTTCAGTGATTATGAGAAAGCATTGGACAGCATGGATAGGAGAATCTTGTGGAGTCTACTTCAACACTCTGGTACATCTGAGCAGATCGTCATTATCATCCGGAATTCATACGACGGACTACACTGCAATGTCGTGTATGGAGAACAGCTGATAGATGCACTCCAAGTGTGTACCAAAGTCAGACGAGGCTGATTACTTTCACTCTTCCTCTTTCTTCTGGTGGTTGATTGGATTATGAAGACCTCCACATCTGAGAAAAGTACGGAATACAACGGACAATTTGGATGCAACTTCACAAATGATCAAGTCCTTCTATCCATACACACCAACAAATTCAAGTCATGACAACCAGTGTAGTAGCTGCCATTACAGCAGTGGGCCTCAAAATACACTTGGGTAAAAGCAAGATCCTAAAATATAACACATGGAACACCAACTTAATCAAACTTGATGAAGATCTAGATGAGGTTGTAAATTTGAAATGTACTTGGGAAGCAAGGTCTACATTCTCACTACTGAAGAACATAAAACTCAAAACAACTGTTTGTCAACTGACATCAAATTTAGAATCTACAATACGAACGTCAATACAGTTCTATCGTACGAAGCTGAAACTTCGGAAAATGCCACAACCGTCATCAAAACAGAACAACTATTTATGAACAATCGTCTAAGTAAGACGCTGAATGTCAGTTGACCGGATACCATCAGCAACAGCCTACTATGGGAGAGAACAAACCAGCTTTCAGATAAAGAGGAAATTAAGAAAAGACGCTGAAAGTGGATAAGACATTGCTTACTTACGCCTGTTACTCCTCGTGGAGCAGCATAGTCCGCTCATCAACATTCTTCACCCAACCCTGTCCTGGGCAATCCTTTCCAACTCTTTCCAGTTGTTATTCATCCTTTTCATATCCGATTCTATTTCCCGATGTAATGTGTTCTTTGGCCTTCCTCTTTTCCGCTGCCCTTCAGGATCTCAAGTTAGGGCTTGCCTTGTGACGCAGCTTGAAGATTTGCGTAATGTATGTCCTATCCATTTCCATCGTCTTTCCCTAATTTCCTCTTCAGCTGGAAGCTAGTTTGTTCTCTTCCACAGAAGGCTGTTGCTGATGGGACATACATTGTGAAAATCATCAAACTACACCATGAGGCGAGTACTAATTTGGAATCCTGAATGTAAACGGAAAAAGGAAGATCAAAGCACACTGCGTCGAGAATTCGAAGCAGATATCAAAATGATGAATAGCAACTGAAAACAACTAGAAAGGATTGTGCAGGATAGAATTGGATACATCATGTTAGTGGGACGTCTATGCTCCAATAGGAGTAACAGAAGTTAATAAAGTAAGAAATATGTTTGGGACTTGAGTAAGTAGTGAACACATTTATTCGCACAAAATTCTTTGATTGTAAAATATTTAATGGACTGTTCTCAATTAAAATCAACAAATGATTCCACTTTATACAATGGTTCAAACTGTATGTCGTTATTTAAAAGATGAAGTTTATTGAACAATAAATATTTGAAAATTGACTATCAAAACTTAGTAGTTTATAAAGAGTAAAAACTTATGAGACACAATATAACAAATGGGCTAAACGACGAAACTAAAAATATTTTCTTTTAGCAAAACATTAGAACAATAATAGCACTCTGTGCTTAAGTCATCAAAACAAACTAGAATCATTTGAAAAACTCTTTATTATAATAAATAACAACTGAATTGTATTACATTTGATCTTTTATAAAAAAGGTATACAAGATCATTCAAATCTTTCCCATTGATTCAGTATTTATGTATCTGTAAGATAAAATTAACATAAGATTTAATACAAACAACTAATTAGCAAATATGAAATCTTAGCACTAACTTATGAGTTATTACATTTTAGAATTTAACAGTTTAAACTGTGACAACCATGCATACATTCAACAATTAGTAATTAGTGACTGGATAAGAATGGTATCAACTTCAGGTGATTATTACTTACTTACGCCGGTTACCCCTTGTGGAGGATCATAGGCCACTCACCAGCACCGGACGGAGTTCAGGTAATTATTAACTAGTCAAAACTAGATTTGGGTAGTATATTATTATATTTATCAATTTTAAAAGTAAGTAGTGTATTTGCCATATAGGTGGCAAACTTTCATTTCACTGTTTATTTCATCCATTGACTGAGTAAATTCAGGACTATTTAGAACATTAAATAATTGATTAGTTATCCTTGACCTATAACAATATAACAATAGGTTTACATCCAATTTTCATTTAATTGTAGATTAAATAAAAGCTCGTTTTTAAATAGAACAGAAATAGAAGAGATAAGGAATGTTCATTCGAAGATTCGAATCTTAATAAACTAATTTGACAGAAAAGACATTGAGTATTATAAATTAAAGTAGTCAGTAAATATGGAGATGCAATTGTAGAATGCTTTACTGATTTTTTGTTTGTAACTACACTACTTTTATTGGTCAAATCATGAATAGTTTTCTTCAGAAATCAGATAATAAAATGACAAGGTTATTGTTAAAAAGTTGGTAGGTTTAAACTTAAAATGAATTTATCAAATAGTTTAGACTTGGGGTATATATTTTTTTAGTAAACCGAGTGATTACCAAACCATTTACACGTAAAATAATCTCAAATCATTAATTTATTCAATTCATTAGGCGTAAACAAACATCACATACTTACATACCTACTAATTGTGCTTGAAAAAATGTACAACAGTGAAGAAACTTAATTGTCGGTGTTGTTTATCTTAGTACAATAATGAAATATATAACAAAAGTATAGAAGAAAGCATAAGGTGTAACAAATGTGTGGTGCACATCATCACAAGTGTTTATAAAATCAGTGACTAAATTTTGTGAAAATTTTCACATTTCGTAATGAAATTACAAAATCCAGTTTGTAGTATAAAACATATATTTCATGCAGGAATGTTGACATAAATGTGTATATCAAATGGAAGACTTTAATCGAGTGTTGTGATACAGACAAGTGTTTGAGCGGAATAATATAATTGTGAAGTGTTTTATAACTTGTTAGTTTATAGGTCTTGTAATAATGATATGAGTTGACAGTTTCACTTACCCTGAGTTTTACGAACCCAACCTTTAAGTTCAACCATATCAAAAACACAAGGATTATAGATTTCGGATCAGCATCAAAACAATACAACCCTTCAATTTACAACTTTCCATTGCTAATGAAGAAGATTTAGGTTTTGTACACAATATGACAAAATAGACATTCATTAATGAATGATCTCTTTTTGTTTATCGGAAAGATATCTTAAATAGAGCAAGAACAAAGATTGGTGCAGAATAATATGAATTCATTTTATTTCGTTAGGTTCTCATCAGCTGCTTACAACCTAAATTATTTGAAAATTCAAATTATTACAGATATTGACATATTTATATATAAGAGTGTGATTAAGGATCAATACATGTGTATGATGATCTAGCAAGCAAAGATTCAGATAGAGTTAATGAGCTCATAAAATGTTTGATTCCAATAAATAAATAAAGTTTGAGAGGGAAAGTTCTGGAACATTGAAATAGTGATTAGAACTCATGAAAATAGATTAATGGTAATAAAGAAAATATGAATTGAAACCAATCATTTATGTATGATGTAATTTATATTTCAGAAAGAGTTGCAATAATGACGTAATAAATAAATAAATAAATAAATAGGAGCAAATTAATAGAAAGAGTGGGGGTTATTGTTACCAGGGTAAAGAAAGATTTATTACTGTCTCTTTTTGTATACATAGATCTGGTTTCAAACGTTTGATTGCTAACGCTTCAGCGAATTTCAAAAGGTTCGAGTTTGATTGTTTGTTAATCACCTTGAAGGACTTCAGTATATCAGCTTTATGTCATGTATCAAGGAGATGTCTTGCGATAGCACTGTTGAATGTGTTCAATCCATTTAACCTTAAACTTTTCGGAATATGTTCTTTGAATCGGACGTAGGCTCTCCTTTCTGTTCTACCAATGTAACTGCTTTGGCAGGTACATGTAAATTTGTATACACAGTTGGTGGTAACATGAAAGGGATACCTGTCGACCTTTGATTGTGTCAAAGAACATGGTCCATTCCATATAATTTATATTGTTCTACTAATATTAAAATAAAGAGATGCCCATTTCAAGAAACATTATGTTTTTTTTTAGTAAATATATTCTCAAACGATATCGCGTTAAATTATGCTTATTTGACATTTATTTGATTATACATGTATCTACAGAAAGTTAGTAATAAACATATTTTTGCCAATGTTTTGTGACTGAATGTAAGCCATTTCTTCAGAGTAAATGAATAACCGAATTCAATTAACATAAGTTTAAATAGTACAAAGGAAACAATACAGAATAGTACAATCAATATCACAATACGTCTGAATAATGTTAATGTCAATTTATTCTTGGTCAAGGTGAATTTGTCTGACCTTTCACTGAATTAATTTGTTGTCTGATTCATTTGGTGATATTTTTCTCATTCTTCACATAACTAGGCCTCGTGGGTCTAGAAATTAGATAGCAGTGAGTGCATTACTAATTATTTAAATAAGTAATTCGACGTTTCTGGAAACCATAATGAGGACTAAATAAAGACAATATTAATTACCACTCAGTATAAACACCTCAGTACTATAGTAGGTTAGTCTTAACATAAATATCCCAGTGGTAACTTCTTTGTCTGTAACGCGAGTTAGAATCTCAAGGGATGCACCAGGCACACTTTATTGATTAATGTCAATTATCAAAAATACCATATGTAAAGTTTCTTGCTTATCACCCATAAATGACTGCTAACTATCAGTATAAGAATTTTATGGGAATCGTTGAATGTTACTGAAACCAGATAACACTGAATAGCTGTTTTGTGTTAGTATGAGACTCCTTGGTAATGAACATCCACGACTCTACCGGGGACCGAACCCAGGAACTTAAGGCCTCACCTATCACGAGTTCACTTAATCTGCGAACGAGAAACAAGACTCGGTGACCAAAGACCAACAAGCTAGCTATTGATGCGTCCCAGCCCCGCTAACTAGAGGGAGAAGTCCAAGCATGGAATGGGGAAGTATATTCCGCAAACAGCCAGAAACGAGCGATAACAACAAACACAATTCAAAACGTATATGTACAGTACAAAACCGTCCTTGGGAAGAGTTACTAAATAACATACTAAAAGACACAACGGACCTATAGCATTTACGATACTTCCCAATGGGAAATACGACATGAAGGTGACAAGAGCGCCTTTGGCGCGAAAACAAAGAAATTAAAATTTTCTAAATAAAATTACAAAGTCAGATCCTTTCTCAAGTGAGTTCTGGGGATCTAACATCCCTAACAGAAGTTTAGTCTAATAATGAAAAGATTTCGACCTTCATTTAATGGTAAATGTACAAATATCGACAGTTAATATTCTACTCTAATTTTAACATCCAAAACAATACAAATATAAGATTCAATATTTCATAACATTAAATAACTTGATTAACTATAAGTTTTTATAAAGATAAAGATAAATGATTACCGTTCGTTATATTCAAAAACTATTGCTTACTTATTTCTTACCTGATGAACTAGAACTACTTGTTTCATTTTTTTCTACACTTTCTCCTATTGGCATTGTATCAGTTATGATTTCAGTTAATTCATTTTCTTCATGTTGTATTTTATCATCAGAGTTTGTAAATTGTTGCTTCTCCGATTGTATATTTTCTTCATCATTTACTTTCTGTGTATTTAACATATTTTCCTCATCTAAATAAATTAGCCAGGAAGAAAATCAAGTTTTTTTTTAGTTTTTAAAAGTGAGTCGTTCACCATGAAATAATAAAATCATAAATCAAATTATCGAATTATTGTTTATCTTTTCATTTATCAATACAAGTTAAAACTATGGTCAAGAAAATGTTGTTCCCAACTCGAATGATCCGATTCTACAGAAAAATGAAATCATGTGGTAATCAGATTTAGTTAATAACAGAAAACGACCATTATTTGTAAATAATCAGCTGCTTTGTAACTGGGTATCTAAGAGATCAAAACTATGAGATTGAGTAATTTCATGTATTTAGTAACAATTTACTCAAGTCTAATGTCCTAGGATAAAAAAATTATATCAATATGTATATATGTAACGGCATTATGACGGTTGATACTTAACAGGCAATGTTAAATTGGTTTGTTTTGATTCTGATGATTATTCTTTGATCAACAGACATTAGAAATGTGTCTTAGTTATCTTGTAGAATGAAGACGTGTTTTAATCATTTTTGTATTGGTTAATTGAAACTTCCCATTGATGTTTAAGACTGCAATTGATCAGTCTCTTATTGAAATATGTGCTGTAGTGGTTTTGCTTCGTTAATCGATCAGCTCGATAACCGTTATAATATAAATCTCAACGATGATTAAAATCAGAAGGCAATAAAAAGCGGCAACTACAATTTATTAGGTGATAGCGCATACCACAAAGCTATAAGAACATGGAACGAATTTGTAGCGGAAAGGCGAACAAGTATATACGAGCAATTACATAGGCAAATTTATAGTCTAAATGCACAAGGATGAAGCAAAGCAAAGCACTGACTAATAATATGACTTGAGTATATATATACATGGGGGATGAATCACTGAGTAATACTTAAGCGATCAATATTTTAGCTAGTCTGTCATGTGCTCTAGAAATCATAACGGTACAAAAAAATATGGGAATTGTTACCATTCAAACAGCATCGTCTGTTAAGTAAGTTAATGAAAGAGCTTAACCAAAATGAACCATAATACAAATTGGTTGTAAGATAGTTGTAAAGTGCATTCTGTACGAATCGCCTCAATATCACCGTCAGTCACAAGCACTATAAGCTAAAATAATCGTGGCTAGCAGTGAAATCCAGGACCATAATCTTATCTTATAAAGATGTGTTTGGTTTGATAAAAGCAATTTTGCAATAGTTTAAGCAACAGCTGTAACAAGTAGTGGATAGGTGAAAATACTGAAAATTTCCAGGGACAAACAACTAACATCAGCTAACAAACAAATAATTTAAAAAGATAAAGAATCTATAGAGACCGATAGTTACGAGAGTTATGATGATTAACAAATTATAATTCTATAGAAAGTCGAATCAGAACAACCATTTCTCATTTACACTTCCCCTGTGAATATTGATTGTTTGTTAAAAAGAAAAATCTCTATGAATATCTGTAAGAGTAAAGAGTGTCTTCAAACTTAAATAAAGAATTTAGAATGTATGTACATGAAAAAAGCACATAAAAGATTCCTTTATACAAATCAATTCAAATATGTGGCAATAACAATGTCAATATTCAAACTAATTTAAGTTTTATAACTTCACTTTAAATAGTAAATAACTTACTATCAAGTGGAGTATTACCATCTTGTAATACATATGTAAATATAATATAATCATTACAATATTATGAATTATATTAAATACATCTAATTACTTACTTACGCCTGTTACTCCTCGTGAAGCAGCATAGGCCGCTCACCAACATTCGCCATCCAACCCTATCCTGGGCAATCCTTTACAGCTCCTTCCAGTTGTTATTCATGCATTTTATATCTGATTCTATTCCCCGATGTAATGTGTTCTTTGGCCTTCTTCTTTTCCGATTTCCTTCAGGATTCCAAGTTAGGGATTGCCTCGTGATGCAGCTTGATGATTTACGTAATGTATATCCTATCCATTTCCATCGTCTTTCCCTAATTCCGTCCTCAGATGAAAGCTAGTTTGTTCTCTCCCACAGAACGCTGGTGCTGATGTTAGCCGGCCAACGGATATCGAGTATCTTACGTAGTTAATTGTTGATAAATACTTGTACATTTTTGGTGATTCTATTAGTAGTTCTCCAAGAACTGACTGTTTTAACATTCGTCTTGAAGATCCTCACTTCCATATTGGTTGAAAGTTGTTTTGAGTTCCATATGTCCTTGCTTTGCCAGCCAATCCTCACATTTACGTCTGCATCTGAACCTCCTCGTTCATCGATGATGCTTCCCAGGTATGTGAACGATTCTACATCTTCCAGAGTTTCGACATCAAGAGTGATTGGATTGCTGTTCTCTGTGTTGTATTTGAGGACCTTGGTTTCCCCTTGTGTATGTTAAGACTACCTGATGCCTAGGCTGCTGCTACACGAGTTGTCTTCATCTGCATTTGTTCGTGTGTATGAGATAGGAGGGCTAGATCATCTGCGAAGTCCAAATCGTCAACTTGGTTCTAAGTTGTTTATTGTATGCCATGTTTTCTCTCAGATGTCGAGGTCTTCATAATCCTGTCGACCAGCAGAAGAAAGAGGAAGGAAGAGAGTAGACAGCCTTGTCTGACTCCGGTCCTTACTTGGAATTCATCTGTCAGGTGTCTTCCATGTACGACTTTGCACTGTAATCAGTCGTATGAGTTCCGGATAATGTTGACAATCTTCTTAGGAACTCCATAGTGTCAACAAACTTTCCGCCTGTAGCTCTTCTAGAGTTACTGACGGTCCCAAGCCTGGTTAAAGGAGGAGGATTGTGTATGAGGTTAGCGACCCCATCCCGTTGAAAACTAACTCGCTAAAAAAACACTAACCATTTTAATTAATAAAAGTATGAACATAAATTGAAAATAATTATTACCTTTTATTTCTTCATTTTCTTGTGATCTAGCTGATTCAGCTTCTAAAATTCAAAAAATTACTTTGTTTGGGTTCGTCAATTGTAATAATTAAATTCTAATAATTTTCTAATGTACACAAACACTAATACAAATCTAACCATTAAGAATATACACATAAACATTTGCATTTACATATGTAGAAAACTTCAAAGTGTATAATTATGGAAATCTACATTGGCTTGTGCACATATTATTAACGACAGAGTCTTACCCATAACTACACGTTGATCAGATTGTAGTATTGGTTCTTTTATAAATACACATATACATATATGCATGTATACAAATATTTAAAGAAAATATAATTTTTCATTTAAAATCTTCATAAGTAAAAATCGAAAACGTAATGTTCATTTAAACTGATTACTTTAGAATTATTAATTCGATTTGATAAGATTTGTGTAGATTATGATGAAAACTACTTATATATACTTAACTACTTAAATTGTGAGGTTTTGTTTTGAATATTTTTCTGGTTAGCATGGATCTGATGCAGATGTGAAGGTGTATTTTCTGTCATCATGTTAAGCCCATATATCTTACTCTTACTTTCGGACAACCTATTCTATTCATTCTACTTGAGTCACATTCTGACCTTGTTATTTATTCGCTTATCAATCTTGACTGTTTTATATGAGCGCGTAGGTGTGTTTACACTTCCTATCCCATTACTCATCACATATCTGTAACTTACTTTTGTGTAACTATAACTATTAATTGGAGCTTGACTAAAGGGGAGTTGGCTTGCTCACCATCTCCACTGCTCGTCGTTTTGCATTGTTCTATTCCATTCGTTCTATATGTAAGATATGTGTATTCCAAAGTCCATTCTCGTTATTTGAGCTATTCCGTTATTGACTAACGCAATTTAAGTCGATGATGATATACGAGGATAGGTGATAAAAAAACATTCATACGATATAATTGGAGTCAGATCAACGGGCCACTAAAGTGCAGAGCCGGTCAACAAACATCATCCTATCTAAATGATGACAACATAACGAGCCCCACAAAAAAGGCGTAGATCGACAAAGCAAGAGCAGAATATTTACAACTGAAGAACATTTCGAACTCAAAACAATTGTCAACCAACATCAACGTCAGAATTTTCAATACAAATGTGTTGGGATATTCGGAAAAATATACCAATAATTATCATGTTAAGTCTAATGGTGTCTTTGGACTTTAAATGGACATTTCCTATTGGCCAATGCTTATTTCACTTGTCAAATATTGTACAAATGTTGTTTTCTATTTTATGGTACGATGTGGTCTGCTTGATTGGTATATAAACAGTGTATGTTTGAAATATATATCGATTCATATCTCAGAGGCTGAGACTTGTGTCCTGGACTCAACTGGCTGGGCTAGACAGGGGAGCAGGGCCAACCGGGACTCTAGGTCGTTCGTGTGTGTTTACGTGTCATTGATCCGATGGATAAATACGCTGCACGTCTAATCTTGCAGTCATCAGTTACAACAAAATGTCGAACAGTTCTACTGTATGGGACGGAAACTTGGAGAACTACGAAAGCCATCATCCACAAAATACAGGTGTTTATTAACAGTCGTCTACGAAAAATACTTTGGATCCGTTGGCCGGACATTATTAGCAACAACCTACTGTGGGAGAGAACAAACCAGATCCCAGCGGAGGAAGAAATCAGGAAGAAGCGCTGGAAGTGGATAGGACACACATTGCGGAAAGCACACAACTGTGTCACAGGGCAAGCCCTCACTTAGGTTCCTCAAGGCCAAAGGAGAAGAGGAAGACCAAAGAATACATTACACTGATAAATGGAGATAGATATGAAAAAAATGAACAAAAATTGGATGGAACTAGAAAAGAAGGCCCAGGACAGAGTGGGTAGGAGAATGCTGGTAGGCGGCCTATGCTCCATTAGGAGTAACAGGCGTAACTAAGTAATTATGAATATTGCATACAATTTTAATTAATTTCCTACGTAAACTTATTTTCGGAATGAGTTACTCTTAACGACCTTATTTAATTTTAATTCACTTCAATCAGTATGTATGTATATGATTAACACGTAATTAGTTAAATCACTATTATCTAAGTAGTATAAAATTATATGACTGAAATGTTTTACATTCAAATGGGGTCTAAATTAAACAATCTTTAAAATAACAAACTAAAATTCAATTGAAATACAACTACCAATCAATAAGGATAACAACTTGCTCAAGATGATTAATCAGTTTTCAAAAGCTATAAAATGCAAAGGCGTGTAGAACGGAAATAAAGACAGAAACCCAATAATAATTACGGAAGACGGTTATGGTAGCTTCTTAATATGAGATTTCCATTAATGAACACCGAAGACGATAATATTAGTCCCACACTAGACCTTCGCGATTCATGTTGAACCTGTTACGTTTAAACCACTGGGTTATTATCCAATGATTTGCATTTCTAATATCAGTCGATTTGTGATAACTCCAACCTATCATCCAGTGCTACAGCTAATACCTATACTAAACGCTTTATTTCATAGGTCACGTCTTTTCCTTAAGAAATTAGGAATTATTCACAAGATCCTTTACACAATATTGTTATCTTTATAACTGTAGAATCTTGATCAACTTATAGTTCCAATTACGAAAGAAGTTCTTGTGTATACACATGAAAAAACATCATTCTTGTGTTTGAAATGTAATTCCATAAGTGACTTATCCAAAGTACATTAAATATATAAGTTATAAATTAAGGTGTGCCTACCTTGCTCTTCTTTAACTGCATATGAGTGAGCTAAATTTTAAAGAAAATTAAGCGAATAATAATATTAATGATCTAAATGCTTGTTAATCCTATAAGAATAATATCATGATAAAAGTAAATCAAAGAAACATGACTTTCTGTGGTGATAAAGTAATGACAGTCATAATTTACATATGTATTAATCGAAAGTAATCAAGTCATCTAACAGTGTACAGAAGAGTGATGCCCGATTTGTTTAGACAATGTCAGTTTTAATGTCTGTAAATTATTTTATGTAGTTTCTGCACTAATTTTACTTATATTTCTCGATATAGAATGGTCTGTCATACATTTGACCAAAATGTGATCTAATTGAGAGAAAAAATAACAATCTTATTTTGGAGATTGTTAAGTTTTTGATTGAGATCATGAATTGGTTGATTTTAAACCACCATTCAAAACCTGGACGGCCATTTTGTACTAGCATGGGACTCTTCACCAGTGCACATCCACGATCTCTCATAAGGAATTTGAACCCAGGACTTTCGGTCTCATGAGCAAACGCTTAACCTCAATTAATGATCTCAATCAATAATTTAACTCTGAAGTAATAATATCGCTTCTACTTGCATTATGAAACACTTGGAATTAATTAGTTCAACTTTACTTCTAGGTATCAGTGCTAAGGTTGGACTTGATGGTTTCAAATAAATTGAACATTGGGTGGAAAGTTAATAGATAACCAACTATGGTTATTTATAACAAAAAATATATTTATTATTTTCAATACTACTTGTTTCAGTTCTAATATACAAATACCGATTGATATAACAACTTGTGAACCTTAAAATTTAACATTATTTCCAAAATATAATCATTCTAAATGGAAGTATTGTATTATCTTCTAGACTGTAGATATACGTAATGGAAAGTATAAAGGACAGTGTATTAATACAAGCCATAGTATATTAGTCACTGTTTTGCGATTTTTATCAAACACTATTAGCTAATAATAGATGGAAGTATGTTTTATACACTATACACTAGCCGTTCCAGTATTCAGGGATCAACTACTGACCAGATTTAACGTTCAATAAACTAAATATTGAAACTAAAACAAGCAACACAATATTGTATTTCATGTTTTCTCTAAGTAGCTTCATTGAAACGAATCGTCGATAGATCATGAAACTAACTTTATGTATTTAATAGAATTCATTATTAAGAAAGATAATCTTCCTCAGAAATTACAAAATAAACAATGAAACTAACCATAACTAATTATTATAATGTTTAAGAAACTGCTATAATAAATTTTGTTATTATTATTATTTCAGATATTGATGTCAAACTAACCTTTATCCATATCCATTTCTTCATTTATTGAATCTGAAGAAAAATAACCGATGAAATTGCAAGTTTATCAGTACAATAGGTAAGAATTATTTTATGCTAAGAGATATACGTATGTTTTAGCTTATAACGATAATATCTAGTATCAAAATATTTACTTCACGATACAGCATTTGGTTATAACTACCCAATAGAGGCAAGAAAATTTGTTTCGCTTTTCATTTGGCATTCGTTTTAATGTTCGTAGTGATTTATACTAAAGTATTACTTCTAATATTTCATCATTTATTTCTTAGAAATAAACTGACGTAACAGACTAATTACGTTGAATGGTTTTATTATATTATTATTCCTGATAGACTTTAGTAATTGACGAAATAAACCAACCTCTACTTCACATGAAGTTTAAAGATTCTTTATTCATATTGCTAAGACGAAGTGAATACAAGAAACCACGAAACTTTGGAAGTCATCCCCTAGGAACGCATTTTATATATACTTACTGTGTATTTATGAAATTTTAATATCATTCTAATATCAAGCTTTTATTTGATTTTGTTTATTAACCATTGCAACGCCCTTACTGTTCATAGATTACAGTGAATTGAGCATAAGCCTGAAACTTAGTTTATTATCATAAATGTCCTCCTTTTTATATATTGCAATTTTTTTACTTGTGGGTCAGTCGTTTACTTTATGTTTATAATCAGATGAGTTTTTAACTCCGAGCAGTGCAGAATTCTACCGACTACTTAATTAGGCTTTTTGGTGGTTGGATAACTAGTTTTGGGAGTGTGTGACAACATTGTTTGGGGTATACTGCAAACAGTGTTAATGGATCTATAGTTGAGTAGATAGGAATTAATGACACGTATATTCAATAATTACACGCTTTCTATTGCCTTTAATGACTACTAATTATAACAGCTGGAAACGTTCAAAGCTTTCAAAACTTATCAACCGCTTTCTGAAATAAGAGTGAACTGGTAAACGAGTTCTCAATTCATACCTAAATTCCGAAGAGTTGAAGTTATTCGCAATGTAAGCTTGTCAGTTATTTCATGAATAGCTCTGACTACTCTATTACTTGTCGTAGTTCAAGTTTATATAAGACTACTACAATCATCATTGATGACAAAAGAACATAAAATTTTTATCTACCACATCTAAAGAAAACATAGTTTGATTCGGATACCATTTGGATACCCAACTGTATGTAGTTTTAAACATAAACTAATATTATTAAGAGATCCACTAAAAATCAGGGAGCTATAGACAATTGTTTTATTATACTTTGGGACTTGTCAGTCGTGTACGTTTAAGACACCACCTGGGTTTAAAACTGTTATGTCCCGATAAGCATAATGAATGGTAATTATTGGGATCCATTTATGGAACAATGCTATGAGTATATTTTTATCGTATAATTGTTAAGTAACTAAACCATACATACTCATGTCCCTCTTATTGTGAGCTTTATTTTGACCTATGAACTATTATTATACGATTTACCATTCTCGAATTATGCCCTATCTATTAATTACTACCTCCCACACTCACAGCCACATTTGGCCAAATCTTGTACATATGTTTCCTATTTTATAGTACGATGTGGTCTGTCTGGTTGGTATATAAACCCAGTATGTTTGTAATAAATGATTCATATCGCAGAGGCTGAGATTGGTGTTCTGGACTTAATTGGCTAGGCTAGGCAGGAAGCAGGACCCATAAGTACTCTAGACTGCTCATACGGGTTTCGTGCGTCATTGGTCCGATTGATAATCCACTGCTCTCTAATTGGCGGTATCATTACGTTATACATTAGCAGGGCACATAGACCACAAGTTATAACAAAAACAAACAAGTTTCGGTCTATAAAGGAGAGTGATACTATCGGAACACTGAGTATGAACTCAGAGTCTTCTAGTTGGTGGAAAACACCTTTAGTTTAAACAAATATCCATTAAAATCTTGTTTCTTTACAGATACTAGATAGTGTGGTAAAAACATCCTCCAAAGAAGCGTATGGAAACTAGTGGTTTACTCCACAGACATCTGTAAGCTTTCTGATTTGTACTCTCGAACTACTTTAGAAATATCACAAAATAAGTACTTTTTTAAAAAACTCACTCAAGCCTTAATTAACGCATAAAACTCTTAATTTTTCAGCTTCCTTTGTGATTTACTTGATAACGGTGATTATTTTAAGAAATTAGAATACTGAATATTTGCAGCATCCACTAATGAATTAAATGAGTGATTAAAAAGGAATCTTAGTAAGTAGCGGTGTTTAGTATTGATCTTAAGATTATCTAAATCCCTGATAATCACTTTGTTTATTTGATATCGACTTCGCTATCTGTTTTTATGGATTTATTCGCTTTGATGAGCAACACTACTACAAGGACTTGAACTCCGATCACCTATTTTAAGTTAGGTTTAAAGATGGATGAAATCAGCGTATGTGATTTTAAATCAACCTTGGTATTCAGCTGTATGTACGATAAATATTTCATTAGGAATCATGTTACTAGATTCTTCAAAGTATCTTAGGACAGATCATTAAAAATTCAGTTATCCATTAGCATAAAAAGTCACTTTACTAACCTCGTCTACTACTTCTTGACGACATCGTTTCTAAATGAAAGACAGGAAGAAAATTACAGGGGTCTAAATAATACATCAACTGAATAAATCAAATATGTAACAGTAATTTTATTATAATTAGGGAATAAGAAGCATATCTAATTATTTACTCTAATTTTATAATATTTCATCAACATGGCAGTAAACAATTAGTAAGCTAAAATTCGACTTTTTAGAGATCACTGCACAAATGAGCAGGAATTTCTGATGGCTTGTTTACTGAATCATTATGCTTTGTCTTTTTAAAGAATCCTTTTACTAGCGTAACTAGTAAATCGATTATCATAATAATAAAAACTTATTTTATAGACTCTAATTTTATACTTTCATCAAACCGCATCAAAGTACATCCTAATTTAGAATCTTTAAGGCTAAAGTAAAAGAAGCAAACCGAAAAACATATTGAGCCGGGAATCGGAGACAAATATCAAAAGAATGAATAACACTTGAAGATAGCTGGAAAGAAGAGCCCAGGACAGAGTTGGTTGGAGAATCATGGTTGAAGGCCTATGCTTTATAAAGGATAACAGATGTGAGCAAGCACGTATACATAGTGTCAGCAAAATACACATGAAATGGTTTTTTAAGTAAACTATACTGTCCATGGAAGTCAGCAGACTAATTATTCAAACTTCGTAGCCAAATAATGAATATCTGAGAAGTCAACGGACAGTTACAAACAGTCATTATCATTTGTGTGGTCAAACGTATTCGTCTGAAAGGGCAAGTAATAAACTGATCCCATCAAATTACTAGTGTGACCTTTAAAGTTTAAGCATGCAATGATGGCTGGTACGTCAACATTTTACATAATATAATCTAGTCAATAAACGGATGATGTGTGGCTAGTTTGGTGGTAGTAACTTTTTGAGATTGATAAATCATCGATTTTTCTGCTTATTTCCCAAATATGCTTTTGAGGACTTCATCAATTCACTTGATCCATAGAAATATGATAACGTTTCCAAGTTATTCCGTCAGTCATAAACAATACAGGTTTTGGCATAGATGTAATTAGTTTCAATCCATCATATAGGTAATGAAAAAATTCATAGCACAGAATCTCGAATTCTCGCCTAGTGAAACCCATTATTCGATCTAATACAGGATCTTAATCTTGAAAACTGCAATACATAGTTTGGAGAACAGTCTAGTAAAGCCATAGATAAAACTTTGCAAAAACAAGCTATCTGTACTGATTAAACCTTACAATCTGTTCAAAACGTTCATACAGCAACTAGTATGGAATTGGTTGGAGTTAGACATTAAAACCGTTGGATGCCGGCCGGCTTGGTGATTTGGAAGTTAAGCGCTCGCGCGCGAGACTGAAGGTTCTGAGTTTGGGTCCCGCAAGCAGGATCGTGAGTGAGCACCATTGAGGACTCCCATACTAGGAAGAAATGTCCGTTCACTGGTCTAGCTTTAATTGACTCATTAACTCAACGATTAAATTAGTGTAGGATATGTTTAAAACCCACTGTTCGTAACCCATCTTTTTGTCTGTGCAAGTCAATATTATTCAGAATACTGACTATCTTCTGGAAAAACCGTAGTGCCACCACATCTCAATGTAGTCGTCAGTAGAACTTCTCCGCTAAGCTTTAATCTACTAATTTTAATCTAATCACCATCGATTCTAAATCTTCTGGGACGGTATGATAGTAAAAAACAGTTCGACCAGCTGGTAAATCTCGACTGTGTCATTGCAATAGATAGACCGGACAACTCCATCAAGGTGGCCATTGCAATCGGGTGAGTCACGTTTTGCAGGTTTTTATATAAATTCTAAAGGGTTGTAAAAACAAGATCATAATGTACGTCGTAGGAACTCAGATGTAAGTCCTAGAATACACTTAATTACGATTGATTAGTTTGTGGAGCTTGTATAAAACGGTAGGTGGTTTTTACATTACTACGCGCTTAATTCTAATTATAAAATTACATTCATGTATGTTGATAATCTTCGGATGTCGGTTCATTCATCGCTATTAGAGTACGATTTGAACAAGTTTGGATATTGCTAGTGAGTAAATTATATTAGAAAAATACTACTACTCGTCACACACTTTCATAAATTTCTAATGATTTGCTTACGGTTTTCTTCATTAGCTTCGATACCGGTGAATAATAAATTCTGAATCCGTTGAACTTCGTCTTTGTTAGATGATCCATGAACTGCATTACGAAGAATATCTCTACCGTAAATTGCACGGATACTAGAAAGACAAATGCCATAGATTTTTTAATTGATTGAAGTTAAAAACAGACAAATAAAATACTTCCAAACCTAAGAAATTCGAATAGAAAGTCTACAAAATTTAGCCATATGTCAGGTGAAAAATACAGACGCAAAACTACAAACTATTCTTTTCAGGAATAAAATACGTGAAAATATTTCATACAAGCATTTTGATCTTCTCTCTACGAAATTTAACAGTCAAAAATAATTCAAATGATATTAAGTAAATTTATTATACACTTTCTGAGTGATTCATGATCTATTTAGACTAAACGCAATCTCTCTCAGCTTCACGAAACTAAATTTCAGAAGTTAGCTTACTTCTTATTAGTGGATATACAACTGGATCAGTTGTTGGTAAAAGGATCATCAACGCTAAATCAAATGCAACTTTGCTTTCATCTTATATTATTTAGATAATAAAATGCATCTGTTAGTCGATAGTTTACTTAAAAACGATATTGATCCGTTTACCAAAGTGAGATTCTGGTCCATGTAGTATCAAAATCCAGTAACGTTAGTATTTTCCAAATTACGTTACTGTATCAGATAATGAAATCATTAACTTTTGCTCTGAGTCATAAACAGAAATTAGAGCATCCTGGCTGATGCCCGTGATTAGTGATCAAATGCTTTGAGTTATATAATTTAAATTCATTCACAGAAAAGTGGATGGGTCCGTTAATAATTGTCCCTGGAAGTTTTAAGATTATATTATCATATATCAATCACCGTAAATAAATTAAAGTCATAATGATACCTTTCTGATGACTCGTCAGATGCTTTGTTTGGATCTGTTGGTCCCATCAGTTGCCGCCAACCGGAAATTGCATTACTTCTCGTCAAAACCATGAACAAAGTCTGACCACTGTATTTAAAAGTAATCAACAGATAGCCTGATTAAGAAAAGTGACTAAGAATAAAATAAAACAAGTTAATAAACTCCTTTAAAAATTCTTTTCGTAAACTTAGCAACGTTAGTTAGTTGACCAGTACTTTGAGACTACCATAGTCCTCTGTCGTTATTTTTAGAACAGCTTAATCTAATGAATGAAAACTATTAAATTCTAAGCTTGGTCTTTGGTTTTATCTTACGTATTAACCGAGTTCTGTGTGACATACTTCGATATCATCCAACTTTTCTCAGAAAAGAATTGACGTATTAACCTACAGATATAATTAGGCAAAAATAACAGCTGTTTACTACCTTTTTGTAACTGATATTTACATTAGCTAGTACGGTCACTGTGTAGGCATGCGAAGCACTAGATTGTCAGGTTATGGGCATTCTAGATAATTTTACTAATAACTTAGGTAACTTATGTAAATTTACTAACTTGGTTGTACATAATATGTATTCCTTCGGACCTGACTACTTCGTCCAATTTATTGAACCAAAATGAATGGAGTAGATTATTATAATTGATATAGTAATGGTCAAGGAGCTTATTTCCAGGTTACTGAGTTAAAGCGCATCTGACATTACATGTAACTTTTTCATCATTCAGTAAGAGAAAGTTACTTAAGAAGGATCAAACTAATTTCCTTATATCGTATTAGGCGGATCATCTGGATAAGTAAATTAATTTATCACCAATAGTGAATACGTTAAATTGAATTAATTTGATAGCCTAGTCTATTTCTTTTTAAAAAAAGATTCACAGACCAAAGAAATGTTTCTTTTTAATTGATTTTACATCTTAGCTCTACACTAATATGCATGTTTAGCAGTAATGATAAAAGCAATGCCTATTACGTGGCACGGTGTTGGGCAAAACCGTTACATGTAAAAGTAATGACGAGTGATAAACGAAGTAACTAAAAAGTTTATAGGGAAATCATAATATTTGAAAGTATAAATTAGTAAATAAATGAATTGTGATATACGATTAAGAAACTGATAAGGTCCGTGATACTTAATAAGAGTGCTAATAAAATTTTGATGAGAATTTGAATGTTAATATTGGTTACGTAAGGATTATAAGAAGAATACCAAAGAGACAGAGGAAATTTGATGATAGTAGAAAGAAGGAAGGTTTGATAATAAGTTATGTATAAATTGTTTTAGTATTAGCATTATAGATAATTGAGGTATAAGGGACAACTGTATCCTAAAAACTTAAAAGAGGACTTAACCCCCATACACACCATCCGACCAACGATACATTCTTCAAAACAGATCCCTAAAGTTCTTTAACAGATCAGTCAGGAACAACGTAGAACTTTGTACGTACGTACATCAGTTCGTGTTGCCACACCACATTAGTACAGAGATGCAGTTGTCGATTCAAATCCCGTAGTGTTTGAGGTAGTAAAATTATAAGCAGTAATCAGAAAGATTAGGGTTTGAAGATATTATTCAACGAGTATAATCCAGTGAAATAAATTCGGAGAGAGGAAAAAAGGGATATGAAGAGTTCGAAATATTAGAATATGTGAGAACACAAAGAGTGGATGCACCTGAGCCATTGCAAACGATTTTTAGTCATGTCATTCAAGGTCTCTAACCATCGGTCGCTATCGTCTCTTGGATCCCAACCAGGTTATTTCATGAATTTGTGCCATGTTTTGTTCTTTCCTTATCTCTTCCGAAAGAGTTCTGACTTCAGGTGAAATTACTTACTTCCTAGTGGTTATATACAGATACTATTAAGGGATATGGAAAGTGTACATCTGACATTCGGTTTTATCCAAGAATGGTGAAGTACTGTGTAAGGTAGCAGCAAACGATATGCCACGAGAACCACTTATTTCATTTGGTTCATGATTTAGACTGACTCTCTAGTCACCCTCAATTGCTATTAGGAAACAACTGAAAACGAATATAAAACAGTAGGGTCAAAATGTACAAAACATCTTATTAAGCAATATAGTACCTAATTTTAAGTTTATTATTATTACACCGATCTGCTAATTCTGTATGTCAATCAAGGGGTTTTATTCCATTTTCCTTTCAACCAATATTTATATCGTTAACAACTAGGAAGAAGTGGACAGCTGTTTCCTTCTAATATGAGACCATCTGAGACTTGAAAGTCATGGGCTTGACCCCTAGTGAGATTGTGGGTGTTTCGTTTCCCCTAAATCAATTTTTGATTTTTGCATAGGCAGTTTAGTCAAGTTTAGAAGAAGGTAAAAAAAAGCGTGAACTGCATCTCAATTTTAACCACTGACAACTGTTATTGTACTAAGGCTGTGACAAATTCAGGAAGTATTTCCAAGTTTCACAATGAAAAGTACTTTTTAAATAAATGATATGACACACCTGACCATATGATTAACTAGATCATTGTAAAATGGTTGACCAGAGCAATTTTCATATAGTTTTTGAGCTATATCCTTAGTAAGAGTCGTTTGTTTACGTGCTGCCACGTGAAAACCAGCTGATTCAATCCTTTCAATAATTTCATCTCGATTAGCGTATGCATCGGGTTTAATCGCTGCAATTGTTTTTTCCACCGGGAAAAATACATTAATATCTTTCTCCACTTCATGATCGTTAGCTGATCCATGTATAAGGTTGATTCCTTCACTTTTCCCACTGGTCATTTTAGTCGGTGATTTCATGGTAAACTGAGCACGTAATGATCCAGGAGCTGTGGATTTGGCTTCACTAACACTTGCTGGTCCTAACATTTCTCTCCATTTAGCGACAGCATCCTATTTACAAATGAAATTTGAAATCGACTAAGTTGATATGAAAATGATTAATTCAAAATATGAAAAATAGAAGCATAATAATGTTTATGTAAGTTAATAAACCAAAAGAAAATAGAATGATCTATGCTTTCCAATTTATCATCGTAGATAAACGAGTTAACAACAATAATGTAATTTATTTTAATACTCAAGTAAATCTGGAATAACATTTGCATTAAAAATTAATCTGTTATTAGCCTATTCTTCATGAACTTTTGACTTGACATCACAAAGAGATAAATTTAATTAAATAAAGACCAGAGAAAAACAGTCCAAATTAATTTTAAAATCTTTAAATTGCTACTTAAAGATTATTATTGATAGGTTAGGAGTAATTTTAGTCGACTGATTCATATTCAAATGTAACTTAACTTGAACTCCCATGATAACAACTTATCATTACCAATATGTAATACAGTGTTTTTACTAACTTCCAGAAATGCTTATTATACATCTAAAGCCTTGATTACATTTATTACATGGTAATAAGACAATAAAATCTTATTTCACTGACTGAACTGTTACAATAATAACCAAATAGAGTTCATTAAATAACAAAAAAACGGATCAGAAATACCATTGGTTAATGAGTTATGGAGATATTAGAGGATAAAATTTGGTTTTTGACTGCAAAACGTTATCAGTTAGTAAAAATATAACTTTTTAAAACTTTTTTAATAAATTTAAAATGGTTAACTGATATACAACAACGAAATGAACTACTCAGTAAGATTATTCAGATTATCTAGCAGAATAAATCAATAGAGTAAGTAGAGAAATTCCTTTCTTACCAGTTGACAACCTAAGGTATATTAAATTGCCGCATATCGTGATCATAGAAACAAAACAACACTTCTCCAGAACCTCATTATTTACTTATTTCACAACCTCCAGACAGACTCCAGCTGCTTGACAAGTGGGTTAGATTATTCTGTGATTCTAGAATTATCCACGGAGTAAATGTTTTTAGTGTTTCTTGTATCTATTTGTTATCTGCTCATAAGATTTTACTTGACTGAACAGAGTCAAATAGTTTAGACAAGTGTAAGTTTGCACTACCCTTTTATTTAATTCAAACAACGTTTTATTCTTAATAACTATTGTTTGATTAGCCTTTGTTAGCACTATGAAAATTCTCGTGACTGAGTTCATTTGACTATCTTAAAAATAATAATCTTACTTCTCTAGCTAATAATAAAGCTAAACATGGACCACTGGACATTACAGTAGTTAATTCCCCAAAATATGGTTGTCCAATATGTTCTTTATAATATTCTTCTACTTGTTCTTTAGTCAGCTGTATAACTTTCTCCAGTGCTATGGTAAATCCAGCATTTTTAATTTGTTTTACTATTTCATCTTTATATAATTCATAAGCTTGTGGCCGTAATACTGCAACTGTTCGTTCGATTCCATGTTTTCCAGTGCCATAAACTGTTTCTTCATATCCTTTACCAACTGATTGGGTACGTTTCACTGTAATAACTGGCGGCTCGTAACCTGGGTAGAAAAACGCTAGTTCTCTGTTTATTTTAAGCGATTGTTTTGCCGAATATGTAAAGAAAGATGAAAGTACATATTGTTTAACTTAAATAACTAAATAAGAATAAACTTAAATAATAACGTTATTATTTTTATAGATATGAAGTAAGACTGAAACGACATTTTAGATTATGACTAGACATTGAATACATCAAATTTGATCGGCAAACGATCAACTAACTCAAATAATGTTTCAAACGCTTAAAATTGTTATAATTTGTTCCAACGAATTAAAATGTAACTATAAATTACATTAGACTATTGGATATAAGCTATATAACATCGTACGTGAGAAAGTATAGATATAAGCAACCAGATGTAGGTTGTTCATAAAAATATAAAAAGATTTCTATTTGTAGTCTCTCACCCACCAGAAGCTTTACACTTTTGGATTAATCAATTAATGCATAAACCTATATTGAGCACATTATTTGGATAACTTCAGGATTCACATGACTAATTCTTGCACTAGTTAATAGTCTCTATGACATAATGAATGTTCCCAATATTCCTCTCTCATTCAAGTAATACTACGATAATACGTTAGTGCGATAATCAGACTAGTCACATTATATCAGAACCAGGATACACGACCCAGAATAAATAATCAGAGGACAGGTTAGACAATACTTTGTTACACACGATTACATGCAATCATGCTCAGCGAGTCCAGAATCGAAACCAATTCCATGAGGTGAAACCACATATTTTAATGGTCAGTAGGCTGTGTCTGTTTGTCCATGCTCAATGACCAATCATATTTTACCTTCACTATTACATATCAATGATCGTTTTTAATGTCGCTAGTGACATATGGTAGTTTTTCATTTACCGAATGAGAATGTAGAACCTAATACAAATTGATATTTTACCATTTGAAATTGGAAATGCACACTTTATGTTGAGTATCACAGGTACGGTATGTAGAGGGAATGAGACAATATTTTTATCAGGAAGTAAAACTGCAGTCAATAATATTTCTTACAGAACAGCTGATTACGTTATTTTGTAAACCATAATGTTGCCTGCAGTTTGTTAACTAAAGCATGAGCAATAAATATCAACCTATTTATTGTCATAGTCCAAGTTAATTTGTATAAAATCGCTAAAATAAATTGATAAAGTCATTCTTATCATTACTTAAGTCAGCAGCATGAAACTAGTAACTCTTTGGTTTATATTTTAAGCAATCATATATTGAATCAAAGATATCATTAAAGCCCAAATTCGATTTAAAAAATCTCACGCTGAAATACCTAAGGTTTGGAATGAAAACTTTAGAAGGAGAAAATAGCTATCACTTTCGTCAATAATTAATCATTCACCTTTATATCGAACTGTCTAACACAAACATACAATTTCCATAATCATCCAGTTGACAGCTAAATCAACAAACCAAAGAGTTCAATCCTTATCAAGTTTAATAAGCGGAGAGAGTATATGGCAGGGATTAGAAAAGCGGAAAACGGGATCAACAAAATCCATTCCTCACAAATGTTTCTGTAGACCAAAATTATGAAATCAAAACTCAGTTCTAAAGGAAATGATTTTATCGACACAGGGTTGTGGAGATTATTGAGTTTTGATTGAAATCATGAAACAAAAATGTCAGACCGCTATTAAAAACCTGTAAGCACTTTGGACGGCCATTTTTGTCCTAGTATGAGACTCCTCATCAGTGTGTATACACGATGCCGAACCCAGGACCTTTGATCTTGAGCGAACGCTTAATTCCTGGACCACCGAGGGGGCGTCCAATGGTTTTAATGTCTAACTACAACCAATCCACCATATTGTGCAACCATCTTTCATATTCGAGTCCGGGATCATGGATTTGGATTGCTGAGGGGTCCCGTACTAGAACGAAATGGCTGTCCAGCGCTTCCATTTCTTCAATGGTGGTCTGACATTGATTGGTTCACAATCTTACATAAAATACTCTTACATTTTTCCAATTTAACCTAGGGCCTATCCTAGCAAATTAAAGTTTCTCATCAATTTTTGAGGTTATCTTAAGCAATTCTTAAATCGTATTCTAAACTGACCCCATAATTTGCAAATAATCGACAATGAACCTATATCTTTTGACAAAAGCATTTCTTTTTTATCAAGAGTTAACTATTCAAAGAAACCACATATATTTGCATTGGCGGTGTGCACTTTTCAGAAGTCACTATTCAACTAACTAACAAACTAGTATGTCTTACAACGTAACTTCTGTAAGACAGTCTTAAAATTACTGCAACGGACTCATCATCATTTTAATTGCATTGGGAAGGTGGCCCACTGATTGAAATGCAATTTGGACGATGGTGTTAGCGAAATATACCTTCCGGCTACCCTCGCAGATAATTATCGACTTAATTTGCGTTAGTTAATAGCGGAATAAATGAGAAAAATACGAGGATGATTATTGGATACATATATTTCATACACTCATTAATCTAAACGGACAATCAGAGAAATGAAGAGGAAAAGGAGATAGCAGAAGGTAAGTGTGCCAACTCCTTTTGACCAAGCATGACGCAAAATTTATGACCATACATAAACTAAAGACATGTAATAAACAAGATAAGCGAGTCACATGCGCGCTTATACAAAAATTATTAAGATCAGTAAGCGAATAATTGCAATGTCAAAGTGTGACTCAAGATGAATAAATCAGTCTGTCTGTAAGCTAGAATAGCCCATATTGGCTTGACATAGTACTAGACACTCCAAGTTAACATAAAGGAATAACAAAATATTCCTACTGGAAGTTATTAAACTTTCATAAGGTGTTATTAAATTGCCAGTATAATAACTTTCAACAGCTAACTAGACCTAATCAAAGTATATACCAATTTAACGGATTCAATAAATTATTTTCTGTTAGATAATCATTTACTCAATGACTGCGAAGTAATATTTTATACTTTGTATTCGTCCCCAAGTTCATGGAGAATTAAATGCAGTTTCTATTTTCCCAACTTACTTCTACCTGATTTTTATTAATCGGTTAATAATTTCTCTTTAACTGTTTACAAAATCTGAGTTGAGTCAGACAGAAAACCTATCATGAGAATTCGCACATTTCAAAATTAATAAATGGCCCACAAAAACGCGCAGATCACCATAAAACCAGCCTCAAGATTCATTGTCATCTAGTTTATGTTCATAAATACTTAAAAGATAAACTATACGTTAATCATAACTAGAAAATTAAAATATAAAAACAGCCATTTATATATGATAATAAGTATTTAAATACTATACCTTGTAGCCTCTTCTTTAGAGCTTGATGCATGGATCGCATTCTTGATTATTCCAGTACCATATTTTGCCCTTATCCTAAAAAAAATAAACGTTATTCACTAGTGTCAAGAATGAAGCCGCATTTTCCGACCAAGCACTTCGTAACAATTGCAGTGCATCTGGAATGTTCCTCAAAAAAGACTTTGTTATGGGATCTTGTTTTTAAAGAACTTTAATTGACTTCCCGCACTAATGTGATTTGGCCGAACGATAGTCATTCATTAAAGCAATTACAAATCTAATTTCAAATAACAGAACATCTTTATTAAGATACGGTTCACAGAAAAAGGACCGTACTTAATACAACATAAACCAACTACCGGATAGGTAAAACATACTTCAAAATAATCATGATCAGAAGTTATCTAACCAAACGATACAATAAAATTAAGCCTATCCAAACTAAATATTTTAATCCTAAACTGACCTTTCATTAAAATCAACTTTAATATAAAAAATGATCGTGGTTAGCAGTGAAATCCAAGATGCATATTTAGTCCTGCCTGTTACTCTTCAATTAGATGTAACCGCATCTTGGAATTGACGTTTACTCTGAGACTGGAGGCCAATATTATTCGCCTAAAACACCATCTATTTTACACTAACTTATATCACCATGACAATATTGGGTTGTTCTGCACAGAATCTTCATTTGCCAATCAATTTTAAGTCAGAAAATCAACATCAGGACAATCTAAGTCATGTCATATTTAATTAAAATCAATCCTGTTATAGGATGTAATAACTTACATTTAATCAGTGGTTGAAAATGAATCATCACGACCAGGTGATCAAAACCAAATTTATTAAATAGGCTGTGCATATTTTAAATGTTATAAATAACAATAATTTGATTCGTTCAAACATCGCGTCTGGTCAATAAAATATAGAGGTTAGTTTTCCGAACACAAGTCATGCGCAAGTTCAAAACCATCAGCTCGTTTTAGATTAAGAATAAGCACAAGTTTGATAGGTGATACTATCACTACAATATGGAGGATAATTTACTGTAATGTGAATGAGCACCTGGACTTTATTGGAATACCAAAGCATCTGAATATATAGTTCTTTGGCATTATCATATATTATGGAAGTCAGAGATCCGCTTAAGTAATTAGTTTTCTGTTATATTACTTTAATTTATGCTACTTGAGACTGTATAATTATTTTCGTTGAGGATTAAACATCAAGTAGATATTATTCGTATTATCTTCGTTAAAAATTCTCACTATAAGTATTATATGATGCTACACAAGCAAGCCTCACTCCAAACTGTATTTTGTTGGTTCTTTGACACATATTCACGTAAACCTGATAAAAGCTTGAAAATCGTGACCAATTATTTATTTTTTAAGAGACGTATTGTCTAATTGCAGTTATAGATCTTAAAAATAACTAAGAAAATGATTCATGATGTTTCTGTCGGAAAATCCTATATGAATAAAAAGCATGCATCAAAGTATTTCACGCTTGCAAAACGAAATGCAAATCAGCCCCTATAACTGTAAGACCGTAGGATATTTACAGAGAGGCATTGCCTTTAAATCAATAATTTTGAGTAAAATGTGAGGAGGAAGATGGTCTCTAAAAAATAGTGGTATTCGTATGAAATAACAAGTGCGCTAAAACGTTTTGTGAACATAACCTTAATTGCAATACATAACTTTCACATGTGACCACGATATTCTTGCTATCTTTGTGCACTTGTCCAGCTGTACTATTAGAAAAAAATTTGAACTCATCTAAGAGTCACCACTAGGAACATTATATGCAATGATACTACTTATTACATTAGTACAAGATAAATCTCTTTTGTTTCTAAAGTACGGGGTTCAATCTTAACAGTCAGTTTTCAAAGGAAGCACCTAGCGCGCCATTTAAGAAGGACAGTGGTATTGTTCCTCGCTGAGTAAATTTCATTGTTTTGATCGTTTATTACGTATCAAGACTACTGTTTTTCACTTTAATTGAATTTATTTCAGCTAAAGTATTCGACTAGAGTACCGTTTTTACCGTTCTCTCAATTAATTTTGTCGTTGTTACTCTTGAGTACCTCATTTTCAATTGTATCTGTTAGTACTTTTGGTCCTAACAATCTACAGTTCTTCACTTTTTGGTCACTGATTATTTTTTTGTTTCTGAGTATCATCGCATCTCGTTCCTTTTTGAAAAGGACCCCTTTTAAATAACCGGACAGTGTAAAAAAAGCAGTTGCCAACGTCCGGGTTGTCGTTATCCCGTTGAAAGCGGCATGCAGTGCGACGAGTGCAAAAGCTGGTACCACGAAGTTTGCACGAAATTAACGCCTGCGGCTTTCAAACGGTTCAGTAAGAAGGGTTGCGTATGGCTTTGTCAACAGTGCTGTTGGGATACAAACAGACTGTTAACCGAGGCCATCTCACTGGTTGATGCTGCAAAGAAGTGTTTTAGCAGGCGTAGTCGGAACACGTCAAACAGCACTCGATCTGTCGACACACAAATCGACATGAGGCAAACTAAGGTTAGTTCGATAATAGATGACTAACGCCGGTCAAAGAAGGAAAAGCAGTCTCTAGAGGGGCTTGCCTTAAACAAAAGCTCAAGGAAAGTGGGTTCTTCTGTTCTCCGTCTCCCAGATGGGATCCCACAGGAAACGCCTAAAAGCCGCGATCGAAAGGCTCAATCGGTTTCAAGCGGTAAATATAACCTGACCTCTCAGGTCGTCGACAACCCCCCAGAATCCAACACTAGGTTTGATGCAACTGTTGTTGCTTTCTCCCAGCACCGTTGACGAGTGGGTACAGGTTGTAAGGAAGAAAAAAAGTAGCGATATAAAAGGTAATCCTACCCACATAAAAGTAGTCGTAAAATCGAAAGCTGATCATAGCGACAGATCAGCTATTTTTCATAGAATCAAGTAGAGCGAGAGCTCTGAACCTAAAGCTCGTTTTGAGCATGACATTGTGCTGATTAAGCAGCTGCTTAATCAACTCATGCCTCAAAATATCACTGGGGTCACCTTGCCAAAGGTGTACAGACTAGGACGTCTAGCGGACTTGAAACCAAATCATTCCAGACTGCTTAAAGTAGTGTTCAACTCTTCGAACAAACGTGACCTAATTTTACAAAATGGATACAAATTAAAGGGTTCAGGAGTCTTTATACGAAAGGACTTACCGTTGACAGACCGTGTAAAAAGACGGGAAACCGAAAAAGAACTACAACTTAGGTTAGACGCTGGAGAAAAGAACCTGAAAATTGTAAATTTTTGGGTCGTAAGGCTTCGACAGAGAATGATGCCGAAGCCACTCTGATTGAAGCACGAAGCCACTTAAATAGGCTTCGGATCTGCTACACTAATGCCCGGAGCTTACTTAATAAGCGATCGGAACTAGGTGTACAGATTGACTCTACAAAGCCAGAGATAATCGCAGTTACAGAAACCAGGCTGATGCAGTCTATAGATAGTATGGGACTTGATTTCGGGGGTTTTACCTTAGTAAGGGCTGACATAATACAAAAGCGTAAAGGAGGGGGAGTAGCTCTATTCATTAGGAATGCTATCCTATTTGCCATTATCGACAGTGTATCCCATGAGAGTGTGACGTGTGAATTAGTTAGTCTTCGCTTGAAATGCAAGGGACAAGAGCTGCTGATTGGTTTAGTCTATCGCAGTCCAAGCTGTGAGGTAAATGAAGTCCTGCTAAGCAATCTCAATACTTGGTCACAAAGTGGTCGATGTCTTATCCTAGGGGACTTTAATGCATCAGTGGTAGACTTAGAAACTCTGCGAACTGAATCGTCAGAAAATTCCTTCGAGCAGGAACTAGTTGATGCGGTTATCACATGTGCTTTAGTGCAACATGTGAAAGAAGCGACTAGGTACGACCCGGAAACTGGATCATCCATACTAGATCTGATACTCACTCACTATGTGGATGACGTTGCTAACCTTCATTATATGCCCCCTCTAGGTAAGAGCGATCACGCAGTCTTAATTTTCGACTGTCAATCACGAGCACGCGTCAGCCCAGGTATCATGCACTCAGCATCGTTAGTAGTTTGGACAATAGACCCAGAGTCCTCAGTTGAAACGGCCTGGGACGCATTTCGAAATTCATACTTAAAAGTTACCACAACCCACATCCCTTGGACTATACCAAAGGGGCCGAGAAACTCCCCACCATGGTTCAGTAGGGAGGTTCGCATCCTTTTCCGTAAGAGAAGAAAAATGTGGGATAGATTTAGGTTACTGGGAGCTGATGAAACTAAATCCCAGTATAGAAAAGTTCGGAATACCTGTGCCTCGACGCTCCGTAAGTCTAGAAAGTTGTACGAAGAAAAGATTGTTAAGGAATCCATAGAATGTCCTAAACGCTTGTATTCTTATATAAACCAAAGGACAAAGAGAAGGGGAAATATTCCAGCTCTATGAGGAAACAGTACTGCCGCGTCACTAGTGGAGGACGACTTTGGTAAGGCTCAAGTGTTCTCGATCTACTTTAGCAATGTATACACCATAGAAGCACCCTTCCCATCAGCGCATACAGATCTTCCCACACATACACTGGATAGCGTGACCATTAAAGAACTCGATGTCTTCGGTCTACTAAATAAGCTTGACATAGGTAAATCCACGGGGTCCGATGAATTACATCCTCACAACCGGCTATTATACAAGTTAAAAAATGTCGGGATTGGAGGCAATCTGTTTATGTGGATAAAAGACTTCCTAGTTGGGCGTCAACAAAGAGTACGAGGGAACTCAAAGTTATCTAGCTGGGGAACTGTGCTTAGTGCAGTGCCCCAGGGCACAGTTTCGGGGCCAGTGCTATTCCTCTTGTATGTAAATGACCCTCCTCGTCTCCTATCATCATCGGTCTTGCTATATGCTTACGATGTAAAGATATGGAGAACGATACGATGTAAGGGTGATAGCTCAGAACTCCAAAATGACCTGAAGAAATTATCTGAATGGTCTGAAACCTGGCAGTTGCCGATTAATACTCCCAAGTGTGTTGTGATGCATATCGGTCATCAAGGTACAGATACATACACGATGAATAACACTGAGCTATCTGTCGTCCAGACATATAATGACTTAGGAGTCATCGTTAGCCAAGACTTAAAGACTACTGCAAACTGCCGTGCAATAGCCGCCAAAGGTTTTAGAACGTTATGGTCAATACGTAGGGCTTTTAGTCATGTCGACGCTAAGACGTTTTTGACTTTATATACAGTGTTCGTACGTCCTAAACTTGAGTACTGCATATAAGCGGCTAACCCCCGTTTAAAAAAACAGTGAGTTTCTGGAAAAGGTTCAGAGAACGGCAACTAAGATGATTCCCGGAATAGCGAAGCTTCCGTATGAAGGTCGACTGGCTAAGCTGAACCTTTTCCCGTTGTCATATCGCAGAACTAGAGGCGACTTGATTACAGTTTTCAAATTGCTTAGTGCCAAATTTGCACCTGATATACCCTCATTTTCCTTGTCTTCCAAAACAGAGAATTTACGAGGACACTCCAAAAAAGTTCACAAGCCAAGAACAAATTACTTGTCAGCTGACTATCGACTTTCTCATCGAATCATCAACGAGTGGAATTCATTACCTCAGCACGTGGTTGAGGCTCCATCCGTCGATTCTTTCAAAAGAAAGTTGGATCAACTGAGAGACCACCATTGCCAGGACTAACACAGGCCATCAGGCCTTCTGTCCTTCCCAAACTGAAACTAAAGTACGGGGTTCAGTCTTAACAGTCAGTTTTCAAAGGAGGCATCAAATAATTTGCGACCATGGCTTACGTTTCATTCATTTCCTCTGAATCCTTTTCAAAAATCGACGGTCCAATTAGTCCCCTTAGCTTGTCAATAATGCCCTGCTTGCCTTTTATTGCACAGACTATAATTTTGCTTGGACCAGATGTCATAAATCCAACAAGATCTTGAAAATAAGGCTGATCTTTAACATTTTCATAGAAGATTTCAGCCTCTTCAGTGGTAAATAAATGTTCTTGGCTCTCGAGTATTTGAATACCTTTTTCTTCGAGCTAGAGCAAAATCAAATTGAAAATGGTTTCTAACTTCTCTAATAATTTGTTCTGCTACCCCAGACTGCACAACATCAGGTTTCAGTACTGCTAAGGTAAGTTCCTGTTCAACCTCTTGATTACGATTTTTCAGCAATATTAAAAATAAAGTTCCTTACCCTCCTCCTCCTCCCTTTTTTGTTTAATCTCCGCCTCTTTCAGTTCTCTAGCGATAACCATAGGATCACGGATCTACGGGACAATTTAAAACATAATTCTTAGTGCACCTCAACCCTTTCAGCTTCGCCACTTATAACGTCGTGTTCCTGCTTCAACTTACTCAAGACACACTGCTCCAACTCTGGAGGATTAACTCCTTTTACTGCTGCAACAAGGCATCCACCCTGTTTCGTTAGAATGAAATATGGCAACTCACTCCAAAAAATAGAAAATATGGTTCGCATTTCCCTCGATATAGTTCAAACGTTTCAACAGTATCTGCTCTTACAACAGCAAAATGCAATAAATCGTCGTTTATTTCTGTTTTGAGTCGTTTGAACAGACCAACAACAGCGGAACAAGGACCACACCATTCTTGATAGACATCGACAACTGAAAAAAAAACTGAGAAACGTTTGACTTGATACCTATTAGCCCTTGCTTCATACGGAGCGCGTTCCAACTATCTTCGTCTACAATTTCTTCTTGCAATGCTACCTCTCCTCTCTTTTTAGCCATTTTAGAAGTGTTCACTCTTTTGTGTCCTAGGTCGTTATAGAACTAAAAATTTTAAACAAATCCAATGTTCTATGAAATATTTAGTGGAATGATATTTTCGTAAAATTTATCTATGGGTAGTTCTCAGTCGCAATTATAGGACAGTTCTTCATTAACTGTTGCTTTCTTCCAAATTTGATGCCGATTCGATTGGTCAGATAAGCATACGTTTAATGAGCTTTCACACCTGGTGACAGTTGAATGTTGATCCATCCGATCGCGAGCCTGAGTATGTGAAACAATAACAAACGAAAGCATCATGGCATTTTGTTCTAAGTTCTCAAGAATATATCAAGTTTCCAGTTGAAGAATTGCTGAGAAGTTGTTTATACCACTTCAACCGCTAAGGGATTCTAATACTTTGTAGTGTCGGCTGCTATGTTAAGCCCATATAACTTATTTCAGCTTACGGGCAGGCAAATTTATCCATTTTTCTTGACTCACATTTTGACTTTATCAATTATTGACTTATCAACATGGACTGTCTTTATATGAGCGTATGCCTGTTTACACATATTATCTCTGTAGCCTGGTTTTGTGTGACTATAAATATTGATTAACGCTTAGTTAAAATAAGGTGGCTCCCACGCATCCTCCACTATGCGTCATTTCGCTTCGCTCCATTCCTTGATTGCCTGTTAAAATCAATAAGTGCATGAAATATACATATTAAAAATCCATTCTCGTATTCGGCCTATTTAATTCCGTGATTCACTAACGCGGTCTTGGTCGGTGATTTTATACAGTGGTAGCCAACATGTATATTTTAATAACAATCAAATATAGGATATAGCTGGTGTCAGATCCCGGGCCACTAAGACTTGACTGTTCGTAGGTAGTAAATTGTATGCCTACAAACTGGCTTATTTTTCTGAATCTCTAATTTCCAGGCATCTAGCCAGTTTTAAAATGAGAATAAACTGACGTAAGTACCAAAGTGGCGGGAGGTTCTGAGATACAGTACTCCGTTGCTAGGTCGCACTTAAGTCCTTCGTATTCAAAAGCTTAAATAATTGCTATTTTAAGGCGAACTTTATTAGGCTTGGTTTCAAGCCTTGGAACTGGTTTTGTGCATGTATCACATCCTCTGATTTCATCCAGTGAATGGTGAACGTTTGTATTCACTTGAGATTAACTTGTTCTTCACTTCCTCTGAATGCTATGCTACTGTCCCTATTTTCATCTTCAGTGAAATCCACTGATGATGGTAATTCAAGTCGTTGGTATGGTTAAAATTCATCAAAGTATATGAATAAATGATTCTTGATTGACAATAAGCCATCAGACAGTAGTTCCATAGAACGAGTAATGCTGGTCGAACCGTCTTGTTTGAAGAAAGAGTTGTCCTACGACCACTTCAGCATCTCTGAATAGATAGGTTCTACTGTCCTCATGACACCAGGAGGCTTTAAGAGCTTGTCTTTATCGTTTGTTATACGACATAGGAAAGAAGTGGAGTACGGGCTCTGTCCATTTCGAAGTTACACGTCATTTCTAGTACTTAACACGGATTACTCTTTCGTGGTATCTAGGTACTTTAATTACTTTGATGATTGTATGGAATAAACGTGACACCACTGAAGATTTGTACTCACAAGAACAGATTACACAAGTGTGATGTAGCATAACTGCTACATGCACCTATCAATGATGAGTGGTTCAATAAGCCGTGATCATCATTATTTTCGAAAGACTACTTAAGTGATGCGTCATACGGCATACAATTGGTTCAGCCACATGTGTAATTTAGCTGAGATTTATGTGGTATTTGTACGAATACTACAACCGCCTCATCCTACACGGGAATCTAGATCCCGTGATTTGTTGCACGTCTTCTTCTTAGGTCAATCATGTATCCATCCACCTGTGTGGTGGGTATAGACTTGTAGAATTATGGTCTACTATGATATCAGTACTGCTCTAATAATAGACCTAATCCTAAAATTGTAGATTTGTCACGATATAACTGCCTAATCTATAAGATCTTACTTTGGAGTCACATCATCGTCTACATCAACTCACTGTATCGTAACAACTACCAATACATGATGAAGAACAAGCTTAGGCTAGAGAAAGAACAATATATTTAATATGAATAAAAGATATAAGGTAGTATTCAGTAGGGACCACACCTGCATGGCCTAGCCATGCCATTCGATCAACTCCAAATCATTCAATTCCTTATTCGCGACTTCTCCATTGTTAGGTATTTCTCCGCGTTAAATACTGAATGTCTATTTCCCGAGTAATCTCGTATTCAGTTTTGAGGATTGTGTAGTTATGGTCCAATGCCACTACAGACTCTCCATAATGTAGAATCTTCTCAATGGTTTTAGAATTAAAGACGGAAATTGGAATGGACTCATTTCTCGCTTGCGTATCAAAGTGAGAGGGCTTCAGAAGTAAGCGTAGTTTATCGCGCTTCGATTACGTAGTTAACAATAACTTGTTAGGCATCTCATTAGAACCATGTTTAATGGTCAATGAGGGAAACTGCCCTTGTAGTTTTCCTTAATTTTCTGGGCTTAGATTAGGTGGTCTACATTCAGTGGCGAAAGACTCACAATTTTTGGGTGAAGATTTATTGACTTCAACTTTACAACAGAACTGATGGATTTGATGCTATCAGTATCAACAATAAAATGGTGAAAAAGCCAGTGGACAAATATAAGTGCTTTGGAATATCAAATGGATTGTTCGAAGTTGCAAATGAGGATAGTATGTGATCATTATGATCACTCAAATAGAATACGACTTACAAAGTCTGATATTACTGGTGGCGAAATGAACAGTAGTTTTACAAACTGACTTGATGTGTCTCATTTTAATACACCAAAGGCATTCGAAGTGACGAAAGACACATGAAATCTACTACTTGTCGAACCTGTGCCTAACTCTGCAACTTGCTTTGATAATCCTCAATGACGTCTTATACATGTTTTCATGAGAACGAGGACTATCGTTAAATAAACACCTGCCCACATAACCTTGCGTGCACGCCAAATTAGCACAAATAAGTAAAATAGTGGAATTCTTCGTATCGTGAGGGCGAATATTATACACGACTTCATACATAATACGCTCAATCCTATCATCTTGGAAGGAACAATTCGGCAGTTGTATTAGCTCACTGTTCAGATTTGGCATGATAATTCCTGCAATCAATCGATCACGCAGCTGCGCGTGAACTTGATTACCAAACTGACACTCAAGGATACATTCTATAACCTGGTTGTTATAATAAAACACTTGATAAAATTTCGCTCCTTCATGACATTCAAAACCAGTACGCTTTACATTATCTAGTGGTAGATTATTGAGTGTTGCGTAGGGAGATGAAACAGGGTTATCTGAAATTGAAAAGCCTTTAGTAAGCTATAGACATCCTTTTTGAAGAATATAAGGAAAAAAACCAAAGTCTTATCATACTTAACATCTTTCCTAGTCATACTCTGGATTTTAAATCTTTCCATATAATCCTCGAAAGCTTCGGAATTTGAATGGATTTGCAACTCCCATATAATAATTAAACGTTTTCGAACTAATGTACTAACAGTAATTCTCGACATAGTGAAATTTAAGCCAGATAAAACCAGATGAGCACCACGTAAGGTATCATATCTGTTATTCTCAATAAAGCACAAAGGAATCACCAGTTAGTACAAAAACCACAGGAAGGCCTTACATGGTTGACAAATCCGCCCATAGCAACAGATATTTCGGTTATGTTGAAACATAAAGATATTCCGGTTGACGGAATTTCTATAGATCTAAGTCACTATCCTGGGCCTAGAATCAGAACGGAAATGTTTCGGAATCTTTTATGAAATAATAAACGGGATAGATATCTTTCTTAATGGTGGAAGACGGATGGTTGAATGAGCTTCTACCAACCTAGTAATATATAAAATGTGGAATTCACCAAAATGCGATCCTCGGTCCCTTTCGTCTTCACTTTATGTAAATGACTTAACAATTGTAGCAAACTCATCTGTTCTACTTTCTTAGATGAAGTAAGTTTTCGGAGATCTATATACATTATATCATGTAGAATGGTATTGCAGTTAAGTTTTCTTACGCCTGTTATCTCACATGGAGAAGTATACGCTGATGACCAGAACTCTTCAATCAGCTCAGTCCTGGAAAATCCTTCCCAGTTGTTCTTCATCCTTCAGATGTTTGCTTCGAATCATCAGCACAGTGTGTGCTTTGGTCTTTCTTTTTTCCGTTTACATTCAGGATTCCAAATTACTACTGATCTCATGATGCGGTTTGATGACTTTCACAATGTATGTTTTATCAGAAATAGCCTTCTGTGGGAGAGAACAAACCAGCTTCCAGCTGGAGAGGAAATTAAGAAAAGACGATGGAAATGGATAGGACATATATTGCTCAAATCATCAAGCTGCACTACGAGGCAAGCTCTAGGAAGGCAAAAGAACACATTACGTCGGTTAATGGAATCAAATATGAAAACGATGAATAACAACTAGAAAAAGCTGTAAAGAAATGCCTAGGAAAGGTTTGGATGGAGAATGCTGGTGAGCAGCCTATGCTTCTTCATGAGAGGGTAACAGGCTGTTGGGGACGTTAGATCTTCAGAACTCGCTTGAGAAAGGACCTAATTTTGTGATTTTATTTAGAAAATATGAATTTCTTTGTCTTCGCGCCATGGGCGCTCTTTTCACCTTCATGTTGTATTTCCCACTTAGGAGAATCTTAAATGCTGTTGGTCCGTTGTGTCTTTTAGTATGCTATTTTGTAACTCTCCCCAAGGACGGTTTTGTGCTGCATATATAGTTTTGATTTGTGCTTGTTGTTATCGCTCGTTTCTGGCTGTTTGCGGAATGTACTTCCCCATTCCAAGCTTGGACTTCTCCCTCTAGTTAGCGGGGCTGGGACGCATCAATAGCTAGCTTGTTGGTCTTTGGTCACCGAGTCTTTGTTTCGAATGGCAGTCCAAGTGAACTCGTAACCGCTTCAAACTTAGCACA